TGAGTACAGCGATCTAGAGTTGCGATTATCGATATTTGAACTCCGTGTTATGTAATATCACAAAAAAAAAGCAAATTTGATTATTACAATCTACGAATATAATGTTATCGGCAATTGTTCTATCTATAGAATCCAAAGAATAGAAACTATAATAATTTTAGATTTATCAACTTATCGCCCTCAAAATAATGCAATATTGAACCTGAATAATGACCCGAGAATAACAAATGTTAATTTAGGCAAAATTATTAATATCATTACCCTGGGCATCATCAAATAATCTGTTCAGAAAGAAAAATGTCCACAGAAAGCAAACTAAAAAGAAGGTAACCGGAAATGTGTCAAAATAACAAAGACTAAACAATAGGAATTGCGTGAGCGCAGTCAGCTGTTGGATAAATTCTTTTTTTCATATCAGCTGCTTGCTTCAGAACATATGGCACATCACGTCACCACACATTCCATCGCAGAGAATACACCGCAAAAGCACAAGCTAAGTGGTTGTCAAACAATGCAATATACCCAAAGAACCTGCAGCAGACACGACAAGTTCGAACTTCCTATATAAATGACAGGGAATTTCTTGCAAAATGTATAGAAATTCAGTTTAAAATGTAAAATGAATATCGCGTGACCGAGTGGAAAATCGACAGAGGAGAAGACGCTCAAACAATTTGAAACAACAGATATGAATATAGTGGGCTCTCAACCTCCTCCTTTCCTCAAGATCTCGAAACTTTGTCATAGGGTAATTGCTCTCAAGGGGAAACAGCTGTTTTGAAACAACACGCTTATGAATGTTGATGTTGCTATTATAAAAGATGTTGTTTAAAAAGGAGTGTAGAATTCTGTCGTTAGTTCAGCCTCTAAATTAGAGAAAGCCAGCAACAAAGTTAGACCGAGTAACTCCCAAAAAACCACTGATTCTTTTTTTAGACAATCAAAGTAGGTAAAACTGCCAAAAATTTATCTAGCAAAGACAAAACTGCAAAATAAAGTATAGAATAAGAAAATTTCAAGCACAGGTGTGCAAATTTTAATACTGACAAGGAAGAGCCGCATTTAC